TTTATAGTAACCTGTAATTGAGCGGAGGGTGGCGTTCTGTGCTGACAGTTTTAATGCATGTCTTGAAGGCCGGTGCGGCTCAATGCTTCCAATATCTTCCATATTCTCGGCTTACATCATTTTTTATTGCTATCTATCTGCTAAGGTCTGCACGGAGTATTTCAGGCCCATTTTTTTAAAATCCAATAAGGTCTCATAGATGCAGGGCCTTTCTTTGTCTGCGAGTGTTGGAAGAGGATCTCACAGTACTTTCTGCGGCCGCCAATATTGACCGTGAGAACGGGGCGGTTAATCCACCACTAGTTAACCTCTCTCCACGCAACGCCTCCGAGGTTGCTACCCTTGTGCAGTCCATCAACTTCTCAGCCATTGGGCAGCTAGAGCCCAGGGCGGGCGGACGTTTCGCCGCTCTCACCTATTATGTCTCACCGGCACAGGAAGCGATCGCCAGATCACGCATCCTGAAGCAGGCGCCCCCTGCCCCCAACCTCCGAGGCCTCCTCAAAGGATTTTTTGCCTTCGTCGGTCTACGAGCCACGGCAGATAGAATTCAGCACAACTTACCCTTTATACCTCTCGTTAACCTACAGAAGGACGAATCTGGACTCAAGTAAGCTTCGTTTTCTTTTTTCAATGGCTACCTAAGTCTTTCATTTAAGCGTTAGAGTTGAATAACACCGACTTCGGCGTACTGTTTCTGTTTATTTTTTCGCATATGTCCTTTCTGTTAACTGTGTGTGTGGTGTTTTAGTATGTGATTGCTAATAAGTCTCTTTAGAAGACAGGTCGTAACTAGAACGCCTAGTGCATAGTTCGTTGACGTTCTGTTGATCTGAGGAATTTTTTCTTAGAACTCGTTTTTGTGGGCTCTTGATTAGTGTTCTTCGTGTGGAGATGATAAACTGCCTGTCGACCTAGTCGAAGACCGCCAGTACGTCGGGGTTCGGTGGAAAGACTACGGACTCGTTCTTCTTTAAACTCTGTGATCGTTTCCGACTTTTCTAACTATCCCTTATAATCCGTCCGTATCGTACATGGCTTTCAAGTCATATACGAGGCACCGATACACTACTCTATGGGCCTGTGCAAACGGGTGCTCG